CGGCGGCTCTCTCCCGGCCGTGAGGAGCGGCGCCGCGGGCCGAGCGCTGCGCGGTGCGGGTGCTCCGAAGGGCTGAGGAGGTACCTGCTGTAAAACTGTTTCGTTCAGTGTTTGCGTCTCTTTGCAGTGCACTAAGAATGGCCTGAGGTGTGGTGTTAGAACGTAATAAATGGTCTCCTTTTCCTCTTGCTGTCTTAGCTTGCTTTTAGTGCTATGTGTTGCTGTTTTTATTGTAGTTGAAAAGCACGCGAGCAACCACTGTACCTGTGCAGTGTCATAAACTTAAAACTTGCACCAAGGGCCGTTAACTTGGAAAATCTCAGATCTGCTGTAAATTGAGCAACCTTAGCACTAGGTGGACTCCTAATGAAAGCTAGTGAATGTTTTGCAATGTTCCTTATTACATTATGGTCTTAAAATTGCATGTTCTTCTATTCCTGAGTAGTATTGGTTTGCAACAGTGGGCTAGATCTTCAGTATGTTCATTTAAGTACCCTGTAAACTGTCCCTGCAGGAGTTAAGGTTTTTACAAAAAACAAGTAATCTGTCTCTCATACAGGTACAAATAGGAATGTGTGATGCATCTTGTGTCTTCATTTTAGACACTCTAGTTGCAGTAGTTTTAGCAGGTTCTGTTATTTTACTGATTTAAAAAAAAACAACCTTGGTATTTTGTGACTCTTTTCCTGAGACAACCTCTCAAATCTTGTGCACAAGAAGCTTCACATTCCTTACTTCAGTCAGAAAGTGTAGTAGCTAGTCCCATAATTCTCCCTGGATTTTAAGATCTTCCCAGGCTACTTTTATTAGAAGACTATATTATTTTAAAACACTATTGAAGTCTGGCAGTATTTTCAAATTCATAGATTTCTAGATTGGAAAAGACCTTAGAGATCATCGAGTCCAACCTAAATAAAGGTTTTGGATATTCGCCTTGACCAGTGAACGCAATGAGTTAAATATATTAGCACAAACTGCAAACAGAATAATAGAAGGCAATGTTGACTTATAAGTGTGTAATGTTAGTTTAATAGTGTAGAATAAAATGGGTTCATAACACTTTATTAACTTTTTGGGTAGATGGGTGCACCCATCTACTCTTAAGCCTTACTGTTGAGTAAGTGATCCTGCTTGTGGAGTTCTGACTTTTTTCCTTTCACAGTAAGTGTGTGCAAGGCATGTGCACTCCATTTACAGGAATTCTCTTGTTCATTTCAAAAGACACTAGGAAGGGTCTTATAATCTATGGATGCTTCATGTTCATGCTGCTCCATGTTGTTTGCAGCTTAGAAAATTAAGAATATAAGATTTGTCTACATTTCTTGTGTATTAATGTTTTCTAGCTCAGTTTAAGGTTCTGTTGTGTAGTGAAAGGGACTTGTTATTTAACATATTGCTCTTTTATTTGGTGGTGTGCATTGTAATTATTGCAGAAGAGTTGTCACTGTTCTTGCTTAGAATACCTTTTCTTACTAGTTCTCTCTTTTTGTTTTAAACTGTAAAGATGATTTAGCTTTGCCTGTTTGAGTTACTGCCAATACTGGACCATGAGCCAGTTTCTGCTGGCTTAAGAATGCTGTTAGGACACTGTTGGCTGTCTTCCCTCCCCATGCTTTGTACACTGACTGGTTTCTTTCAGCTTGCATCATCTTGCTTCCAGAAACTTGCTACTTGAGTGAACTTGGAGTGAACACAAATGATGGTAGAGTCTTTACAGTTTCTAGGGCTCTCCCAGGCCTCTTGCATAAAGCACATCTGATGCTTGTCTAGCGTATCATGCAGTTAAAAGGCTGATGTAAGAATTTAATTAGTTTTCAGTTTATTTAAATACAACTTAGTCAAAAGTGATAGTCTGATACTGGACTTAGCTTTTTTACTGGACTTCTTAAATTAAGGTGTCTAATTACTAAATCTATTGCTTCACATTTTCACTCATCTGTCCCACTTCTTTGGTCACATCATCATCTCCTTGGTTGTGAGCGTATCTACTTACCTAATGTCATTGTAGCTGTTTTACCAACTTAAACTCAAAGTGAGGATGTCTGGTGCTTTTCAGCATGAATATCCATGAATGGAAACTGTCTAGTGTGACAGTAGCAGAGGGTATGAGACACAGTTTATGTGTGCTCATAATATCATGTAGTGGAGACTTCCTTTGTTTTATATGTTCTCTTTATGAATATTTGTGACGGTTCTGGAAGTTGTTTATTTAGGTGCATAATTGAAACGCCTTAAGCTTGGTAAGACTTCAGAGTGATTTGTAACCATGCAGGTATAAAAACCTATGAAAAGCATTCATGTAACTTTATTTAGCTAAACTATTTCTGTTCTGATATCTAAAAGCATGATTTGATGATTGACTTTGTACAAAATTTTTCCTGGCCAAGCAAACAGAGCAGTTGGTGTTGAAGTGGAATCTTCTTTGTGAGAAGTGAGATCTTCTTTGACAGAACCTTCTTTTCTTGTTTCTGTAGTAGATGAAGATGGAATTTACAATTAAACACACGTGGGATGGTTTATCTGTGAGCCATGAGCCAGTAACAATTGGGCTGAAGTCGGACAATGCAGGATTGCTAATGGAAGTTAATGCTCCCTTCTTTAATGATCCTCCAGCACCACTTGGAGAGCCAGGGAAGCCTTTTAATAGACTGTGGGACTATGAGGGTAAGCCTAACTTTTCTGCTGCAAAATATATCTGATTTGTGTAGAGACTGATGTTCCTCTGTAGGTAATATACCTGATCTTTGTTTAAGAGCCTATGATGGTTATGTTTTCAAACTGATCTAACTGTTGCGAGTGTATGACATCTAATTCAGTTTGGTTTCTTTGGTCACAGTACTGCTTTTAAAGGTCATACCAAAAATGTAAAGTGAAAGTTTTCCTTGCTGTTATATCCCGAGCAGTCTGGGAAAGAATTTAGTTGTAAACACTGCCTTACCCTTCAACAGCTCCTTAAGTAACTGTAAGCCTCATGCTATATTCTGCTGACAACTACCCCAAACTGTATCGAGTGATGCTCTATTTCTAGGTGGTGAATTGATTTTCATCACTAGCACTGCTGACCATAAGGTGAGTGGTCGTTTTATAGTAGTACAACAATGCAAATGACTTGGAGAAGGAGCAAATACATTGTGTCACTCGGTGGCCATAAAGAAATGGAGTCTAGTGAGCTGGATTGATTTCAAAAACGGATGAGATTGACTCTTCCTGATCCTATCAGTAGTATAGGCAGTCAAACTTAGTTTCTGGGTTACTGATATAACTTGTGGAATGACAGAGGCATACGTGAATGTAAAATAATTTTGTGGCATATATATATAAATGCATTTGCAGTAGATAAATAGCACTGAAATCCTAAAAATAGGTTCTACTTTGCTTTAAGAAGTAGAGAGCATTAGCTAAAATAGATGTCTATTTTAATTACTTTTCCAAAGTCTATTTGAGGAATAGGAAGGTGTGAAACAAAGAAATAACAGCTCATAGAATGTGTTTCAAAATTGCACCCAAATGAAATGGGGAATATTCTCATGGTAAGGCTTTTCTTTCTCCTTTTCTGTCAATATTGTCACTTTTACCTGCTGCTTTGAATAATGCAAGAATTTAATGTTTCCAGCAGTTCTCCGCTTCCTGATTATTGACCTATTCTGCTTAAAGCTCTACTGAAACAGTATTAGCACCTCTTTGATATTATTATATTAAATAGGCTGATGTAAAAATAAAATAAAGTTATTAATGATATCTAATCATAATTCTAACTAAAGCTTTCTAATAATGTCATTGCTGTGAGAAACACCATTATAGTTCTACTTTGTGTTCCTGAAAGGTGATATCAACAGTCACACATAGCTTTCAGGTACTCCTGGAACAGTAATCCCCTGTCCAAACTATCGGCCATGTACAGGGAAAAAACATTTAAGAGCTAAACACTTTCTGAATATTTCTGAAATTTAGGAGTCGTAGTAATGGGGTGTGTGCTCTGCTGTGAGTGTGTGTTCTTTTCTTTTTCTCTTTTCTTTTTTTTTGTTTTTTTTTTTTTTTCTGGTCTCTGGTGATCTGAATCCTCAGGCTGCCAGCAAACACAAGACTTCTGCACTTAAGTGCTCTACCTGGAGTGCCTGCTGTGAGTATGATCGACTGGGATCACTCTGTTTTGGTCAGCTTTGTTCACAGCAAGCATACTAGGTGAAAGAGCTCTGTGCCGATGCTTTTCTTACTCCATGAGCAGCTAACATTAGTTAGTAGACTTGCCATATTTTTCTGCTGCATCAAGATGAGTGTTTCCAAAGCTGGAATTGGTCAAGTAAATAAAATGAGTACAGTGCTTTGTAAAACTCTTTATGATGATAGGCATTAAAAATAAAAGCTCTTGAAGTTACAATTATGGCATGGCGTTTTGAATAGTCAGTAGCATGTACACAGCTAGTCAAGCTCTGGCATAGCACAGGCCAAAAATCTTGGAAACAGAACTGTTTAAGTGGGATATGAAGGTCTCAGGATATTACAAAATAGTTAATATAAAATACTGACAGCCTGTTTTTTTTTAGTTGTAGAAGCATTTTTCCTGAATGACAGAACCGAACAGTATTTAGAAGTTGAACTGTGTCCGTAAGTACAGCACCCTGAAAAAGTCACCAATGTTGATTTGCATGTCCAGTTCTAATGCTTGTAAGATACATGTATGAGGAAGACTGGGTACAAAAATTGTTCCAATATGGGAATATATGTATTTGTGGCAGAACAGTACACTAATAGCTTGATATCATTTTAAGAAAATTGTACTCTGATTTTTTGACAGCCATGGACAACACTTGTTGCTACTGCTTTCTGGCAAAAGAAAAGTATGGAAAGTAAGTTGTCAAGAACATTCCTAATGTACAAGAAATCCCCAATTGTTTTTAGGTACGCGTTGCCTGACTGGAAGATGACATTGCCTCTTTTTTTCCTCCTTTAACAGGAAGAACTTCCTTTAGAGTTTGAAGTGACCAGAATGAAAACCAAATGGGAGGGTAAAGCCCGTCTTCCTTGGAGTTATTTTCCACCATGCACTGACAAGTTCAATGCGTTCGCAATTCATGGCTCAGGGGAAGAGAGAAAATACGAAGCACTTTATCCTGTGCCTCGACATGAACTACGGGAAGGGCAGAAACCAGATTTGTAAGCATAAAATCAGGTCTTCTATAATATAATTGTACTCTTCTTGGAATGCTTAAAGAAAGCTAATCTGCTTTTCATATTGAGTGCCACTAGTACTTTAATTACACTGCTTAGCCCCAAATCCACTGGCACTATACTTTGTGTAAGGCACTGTGGCAAATAACTGTAATTAGTGCTTGATTTCTGTGTTATCCCCTAGGTGCGTAGAAAATGATGCATTCAACACCATTGGCATCTGTTTTATCACCTTCCTCAGCTAAATCATACATAGATTTTTCTGTTTTTCCCTTGCCTCCAGCACCTCATGAAATGCCTTTTTGTGTTAATTTCACCAGATAAGATTTTTTGGAAGTGTTTTTGCTTCTCCCCTACTGTTGTAAACAACCCTACCTCTACAGGTGGCTCCATATTATGGAAAAATTTGAAAAGGCAGACAAAACTAAAAGGTGTAATAAAAGGATACCCAGTATCAATAGAAGAACTAGAATATCTTGATTTTGAAATTGTGCTTTGGGCCTATTTTATTTTTCCTTGATAAAAACTGCTACTTCTGGGCATTTTGTATAAATGAACTAGCTCTAGAGAGTACACTGTAGTTCTTATGCAAACTCGTTACTCAACATACAGTGATACCCATGTAAGGCAAATTTCAGGTAAGTTACCCGTTTTTGCCTCTATTCAAGAAAAACTTAGCTTCTGCAACTGTTTGCTTAAAAAAATTCTAAGCTATTGCTAATAAAATACATCCTCTTTATCAATGTTTTGTAAGAAATAGAAACTTTTATTTTTATGTGGTAAACTGGAGAATGCATGGAATATTTTTCAAGAGAGATTCTTTTTATTCTTTCTATAGTACCCCTTCCAAAAAAACCCTTGACTTTTTTAGACATTTGTAGCAGATGCAATCATGTGAAGAGGTCACTTCCTTGATACTTCCATTGCTTGTAGTTAGTCTTTACTCTTACAGATTACTTCCTAATAAGAGAATTCCATTTACCTTTTTACATGATTAGTGTAGTGTCAGATGTTATGTCTACTATTTGGCAATTGTTTAATGGAAGTATTAATTAGCAGTTGGCTTCAGTGTCTTCCTTCTGTTGTTTCTGTATGGTAGTCTAAAGGAGAAATTTGTAGCAAGAACCAATTCATAATGTTGAAAAGAAAACAAGACTTCTAGTCTAACAGAAAAATGATATTTACTAGCTTCATTATTCTGTCCAGTCTTCCTCTTTTCTGTAAGGAAAGGATATTTCTGTGACAGGATTTTTCAGTTGGTCAAGAGTTGTAAGTTTTTACTTTGTTGGAGTGTGGGTAAGTCATAAAGCAGGATATCACCGTGTTCTTGCTCTGGCTGCATTTCCAGGCAACGTAAGTTGAAAGAGTTTAAAAGGGGAGCACTTTGTTAGCTTCACTTTATGCTGTGTGAGACTTGTTCATAGCTGAGGATTTTGCCCTGTGTTTTCCAGTACAAGATTTTCAGAAACACAATAGTAGTTTTTATTTATAAACTCAAGTTTTGGTAAAAGAACACATGGAATGCTGGTTGCATCCCTGTCTAAGAAAATCTGAAAATAAAAATTAATTAAACCTTTTGAGGATACTGCCTTTTATTAAGAGACATATTACAAGACTTAATTTTTTGTTTATTTCTCTTCTCTTTGCAGTCATCGCCTGGAATTTTTTGAAGATTTGAACCTGAAAGAACTAATGGGAGAAGACTGGAAGCAGCCTGAATCAGATATATGGAAGTCTCTCACTTACTAAATGGGTTGAGGCATACATTTCTATAGCACTAAGGTTGGATGAAGTTGTGTGGAAACAACTTCATTCTGAGCAGAGTTTGTAAAGATCAGATAAGTAGAGCTTTCCTTGACACCAAAACTATTGATCAATCTTAAAATCAACTGTAAAATATCCAGGCCAGTTGATTGTAAATGCATGAAGTTGCAACGGCTTGTGTTTCAGTTCGTCTGGCTATGGAATTTTTCATCTGTGTGTGTTGGGTTTGTGTGGTGGGCTTTTGGCAGCAGGGGAGGGGCTACAGGGGAGGCACCTTTGAGAAGCTGCCAGGAACTTGCCCGGCTCCAAGTCGGACCTGCTGCTGGCAGGGCTGAGCCCATCAGCGGCAGTGGTAGCGCCTCTGTGGTAACATGTTTCAGAAGGGAAGAAACCTGCTGCGGAACCTGCAGCGGAGAGGGGGGGAAGGTTTACTTTTATTTCTCATTATCCTCTCTGATTTGAATGGTAATAAATTAAATTGATTTTTTTCCCCAAGTTGAGTCTGTTTTGCCTGTGACCATAATGGCGAGTGATCCCTCCTTGTCTTTGTCTTGACCCACGAGCCTTTCATTATATTTTCTGCTCCGTATCCCACTGGAGGAGAGAAGTGCGTGAGCGGCTGCGTGGTGCTTAGCTGCTGGTTGGGCTTAAACGATGACACTGTGGAAGAGATGAATCTGTTCCTACCAGTGAATGGGAAGAAACGTGCTAAAATTACAGCTGTGTTTTCACGGGAGCTCTAAGGCTGACGAGGCCGATATCTGGCTTGGAATCTTTGCGTTTCCTCTAGTTGCTGCATTTCTGCTGTATTTGCACTGCTGCTTGTTTGTTTCTTGGCTGTTGAATGATATTATGTGCCTAATTTTTTTGATTGCAATCAGGAGAAAGAATGTCTCCTTCAGGAACAGAAAAGAATATAGCTGTCACGGTGTTTTGTGCCCCAGTACTTGCGTTGCAAGATGCCGTGGAGGTGTAACGCTGCCCTTCCCCATACCTTCCTGTGCCTGAAGTTTTCCCTTGCACAGTGCCGAAGGAGAACTTATCTGTGTTCCTTTATTAGCAGACCTCTCTGCTTTAAATTTAGTGTGGAATCTCTAGTGATATTTGTATACAGAGAATAGACTTACAAAAGGTTTTATGTATTTCAGGGAAAAATTCTGCGAGAAAAAAAAAAACCTTTTGATTTAGTTGTATGCCTACAAAAGCTTGTTTGTTCTGAGGCCTTGTCGTGTGACCTTAAGGACTCAGCTCAGACGTAGGAGTTTTGTTTGCATGCCACCTAACGTTGGAAATACTGTAATTGTATGTGCCTACATTTTCTACGTATGAGCATGAATACTATTAACAGCACTGAATGCTGTTAGATGGTAACATCTAATCTGTAAACTCTCACAGGATTTACAACTGAGATGTTCCTTTTTTGTCTAGTATAGTGAGCGCTGCTTGATTGTGGCTGCTGACTTGATCCTGTATAAATTAACTTAGAGAATGGGAAGCTACATTTGAAAAATAAGTGACTTAAACATCAAACTTATTTGGTTTAGTTCAGAATGAAGAATCAGACCAAGACATGGTCCTCAGTCCTTTACTAGAAAGAAGACTTCCTTCATCCTGTTGAAATGTCATCATCACAGAGTAAAAGGTGGCCAGGTTCTCTAGTTTTGTGAGACGAATTGTTTGGGAGTCTGAAACAATATAGCACAGTCGTAATTGAGGGAGTATCTTTCAGAAGTTATGCCCTGAGGATGCGATGGTGGGTCTCAACTTTTCGTATAGCGTTTTCTACTGAACAATTTAGAATCTTCCAAGTTCCTGGAAGGGATTGGTGTTCTCGTAGTCTAACATCCTGCTCAAAGCAGGGCTGTTCTTGAAGCTAGATGAGTTTGCTCAGGGCCTTGTGGAGTTTTGAGTAACTCCAGAGATGGAGGTTCGAATGCTCTGGGTAGCCTGTTTCAATCTCAACTAGTTCTGTTACAAAAACTTCTCTATTGCCATTTCCCATGCTGCAACTTGTGTCCATGGCCTTTTGTCCTTTCTCTGCATCTCCAAGAAGAGTGACTTTTTCTTTAGAGCTACTGGTTAGGTATCTGAAGAGAACTGTTAGCTCCTCATGGATTTCTTGAAATGTTGTCATTTTCAGTTTGCCTTTTGTGACTCTAATTAGTAAGCACCTTCCGCTCAGTTAAAACTGGCAGACAACTTGAAAGTGTAACTGGGGTTGTAACTCAGAGGCAGCAATGCTCCCAGGCATTTCTTGTTTATTTAGCTCATAAATGTTTCTAAGAACCTTGTGCAGCTTTAGACATCAAAATGCCTGTAAAGTTTTGCGCAAGTTTTCATACTAGTAAAAGGATTCTCTATTCTCTTCTGAGCTTCTGTGCAGTAATAACCATAGTCTGATGGTTATGTTTTCTTTGCTATCTTTAAACTTAACTCTACGTGTAAATTCTGCCTGAGAAGAAAAGAAGATGTGAATATCCTGCCTTTGTGAAGAACATCTTGGTGTGATTAATATCTGAGATAGAATGTTACTTCAGAGTTTTTGTTTGGCTTTACATTCCCTCTTTGTACTTTCAGTTGTACAGAGCTGTACTTTCAAGTGCAAGGATATGACGCTTTTTCAGGTGCAGACTTTGGCATGTCAACGCACTTGGCTGTCCGATTGTTTTTGCTGTCTTTTAATTAGACACTGTAGATTCCTTGCTATAAAGTGCCATCTGTTGAAAATTATAAGTATCGTACATTCAATTGTTTTGCTGCTTTTCTACCCTCAATCCATGTAGTTTTCTAAAGAATGGCATCAGTCTGAAATACTGAATAATCCAATACATGTTGATTAAAAACATCTTCTAGATACTGATCTTTCAAAGCTGCTTCTGAAATTTCAGTCAAAAGCAAAACCATATCACTAAACTCTTAAACTTCATTTTAAACACTTTGTCAAAAAAGTGTGTGCAAAGGTTCAAAGTGAGTTGACTGTTTCTCTCACAAAGGTTGTTTTCATGCGATGAATGATGTTTTATGTGTAGAGGACAGTGAATCAAATTTATTCAGACACTTCGTCTCTTATTCATTCCCGCTTCAAACTAGCTACTTCAGATTTGACTTTTGATGCAAATGATAAACTTTGAGGGAAATAGATTACTTTCCCTAAATAATTTTAAGTAAAATTGTCTCTGCAGTACAAAATGCAGTGCTAGATGATTCTGAAAATGGGAATTATCATACAGACTTTATTCAAGGCACATGCTACTCCACACTGCTGTCAGATGGTTCGCTTGTATGTTTCTAATAATCTTTAAGAGACTGTTTGAACTGTAAGTGCTGGCTTTCATCAGAAGGTTTCCATATGGGTTCTTGGAGTGCAGAGTTAGAACCTGTGCACTGACTTGTTTCTAGAGGTTTGAAGTGAAATTAATCCCTTGGTAGAAACTTACTGTGGGAGGGAGTGTCTGCATAAGGCATATGTTAGATGGAAGCACAGAGTCTTGGCACATGGTAGTGAATTCATTGCTCGTCCATGGACAATGCAATACTTGCCAGCATCACTTAAAAGCTCCCAGGACTTTGCAGGGATGGGTATCCATGTTCACTGAGATGACTCGCTAGTTTGTGTCTTTCTTGCTCTGATCTGCTTTTTAACCAGGCCTTGTTCTGCACTGTGGAGACCAGTTGTAGACTGTCTTTCCTGAATTGCCTGTCTTTTTTGATGACATGCAAACACGAGGAAAAGACAAAACAAACTCTGTTCTGCGTGACTTCCATTTAAGTACGTGCTCATTAACTGTTAATCCTGATTTAGAAGGAATTTGATTCAGTCCAGTCTACCTCAGTGTATGTGCGTATATACATGCATGCATATATCTAGGCATTCAGCATTGTGCTGGTTTTGTGTGTCAGACTTGTTTCAAGAATAATATAGAAAAATTCTCTAAATTATCACACTGGATATACTTTATGTAGGATATCAATTTGATGAAACGTGGAGCTGCATGATAGAAAACATAGATGTTGTGGTTTAGCCTGAGCCCGCAAATAAGCACAACTGGGGAGTGCAAAGTATTTGATTATTTTTTAGCTGTGGAAGGGCTTTAGATAACCTCAAGTGTGACATTTTCACATGTGAAAATGTCAATGTCTTGGCAATTTTTAATTATTTTACCATATTTAGACAGAATTCCTAAGGAAATGAGGCTGTTGGGTTATCACTACCTTCTTGTCTTTCTGGCAATGCTGTCATCGCCTTTTCCCCCACTACCACAACAATTTTTAAATCTGTTAGCCAACTTCAGCTGGATCAGAGGAAAAGACAGCCTCAAAAGATATTGGATTGATGCAAAATGTTTGGGCATGAACAGCTGGAGGAAGTTCCTCACTATGGCACTCCAAATTGAGGAGGAGAGATCATCTCTTAGCCCGTATTCTGTAGTTGTAGTGCCAAACACTTGAAGCAGTTGGTGTGTGCTTGTATTCAGCTGTATTACATATAGCCCCTTACCTTTGGACTTTGATTAGGAAACTAGGGAGTGTGTGGAACTCCTGTGATATGCGGTGTTGTCACAGAGGTGAACTCAGATTCCGTAGGCCTAGTGTTACCTTGAGGAAAGAAGCTTAGGAGACAGCGTAGGTATGGAATATGAATGTATGAGAAACCATGTGTTGTTAGTCTTGCTGCTGACAGATACTAGACAAGGTAAATATCCAAGCACGTTTTCAGTGCTCCATTTTATTTGTTTTTTGTTTGAAACTTAAGGAAATAATTCCCTCGATCCTGTCATTTTTCAGAAGAAGATCCCAACAAAGGATCAGGGGTGGAGTTTCCCCAAGTTTAATGCCAGGGTTAGATGAAAACACAAGGACATAGTATCAACCGGTCATTGCTTCTGAAAATACACTTCTGGTTTAATCCATTTTCTAATTGAATAGGTTCTGTTGCGAGAATGTTGATCCTAAAGTGAAGCAGAATGCGAGCTTGAAAATACTGC